CACTACAAAAATGTCTTCCTGTGGTTTCCAATGAAAAATAAAAATGGAAGAAGATAAGAAAGAGAAACAAAATGGGGAAACTGTGCAATTCTGACTTACAATAATGCCATTTGGAAAAAAGCAAGGTGACAACAACATAAAAAATTATTTAATCTACTGCATTATTCACTGAGAGTCCTTCTAGGAAAATATGCCTTTATTTCACAGGTAGGCTTTATTCTTAGTGGAACAGTCCTTTTTTTTTTTTTTTTTTTAAAGACAGCATCCTGGTGTTTGATCTTTTTTGCCTGAGTATCTTGATAATTCTCTATTATCATAGAAGATTACTTTCAGGATCACCTTGCTGTCTTCCTGCAAGGACAATATATAATTCTCTTCTACCCATGCTGCTTCTCTATTTCAGAATACAATTTATAAAAATGGTTAATCAGACACAGGTACTAGTAAGGCAGCACTGTAATAGCTCATCCATCTTTCAAAGGCTTTAATTAAGGTGCTGCTACTAAACCTAGGCAATTTCTAAAACCTAGCCTTAAATTTGAAATCCTTCATCTATTTCCTAACTGAATTCAAGAGGAGGCAGTACTATCAACGACTTTGACAGAGCTACTCCAATTTGTACCAGATTAAACCTTTCTTTTCAAATGCTATTTTCCTCATTATGATCTTAAGCTGAACAGCCAAGGAGCGAACATGAAAACAGCCATAAGGCCGTCTACCCAGCTGGGGACAAGGCAGTTCTGGTGTGGAAGTTGCAGTGTGAACTCACTGCATTACTATACTTGGGTTAATATTCCTTGCTTACATATAATGAGAGCCTATAGTTTCCAATCTATGATCCAGACAGTATGGGATATGGGCAGACCTAAAGCACGTGTCTGCTCTCATCCACTCTCATGCCCTGAGCTTGGATTTCTGAGTATGTTGTTCCTGGAGAGTTACCACTTAAAGATGAGACCACAGGCTGGAGTCTACATAAAAAAACTTAATTTTCAAGGCAATATTTTTGTAATGATAGGCTGATAGTGAAAAAAACTCCTTCTCCTTTCAAGCTGCATAGAAAAACTGTGAAAGATACCTTGGAAAATCATACACTAAAACAATTGTTGACTTTTCTAAACTCATTGGCTGCTGCAGTAAAACAATGATGGTCATATAAGAGATATGAAAATCATGATGTATATTTTCCCTTTTCCTTTAAAAGGCTGTTTGTATGTGGAGAACATTAAAAGCTCTCTATTTACAGATTGAGAGGAACCTTTGAGGAAACTATTATGCAGAGTTAAAGTCTACAGCTTCCATTTTCTGTGTAATGGTCAGAATATAACAAATCCTGAAAAACCTAAACTCAAATCCAGGTTTGGCAACGCATATGTACTTCTAGTAAAAAATGTAAATCCATTTAATATTTGTATATTACGGAGTTTATTTTTAAAAATAGTAAGTGTAATCATTGACGCTTGCCAATTCTCAAAAAGCTTTACTTTCCTGCCTGTCTCCTCCACCCGATCATGACGTAGAAGAATGATGATGTAAAAGAATGATGATTTAGCATCCCAGTAATTCTTCTGGGAGCAGACTGGGATGTTCCCATAAGGTTATGACTTCTATGCAGGACTCACGGCAAAATTGATGGGAGTGATGAAACAGGCTCATTGAAGTAAAACAACAAAGGCTGAGTTTTGTGTGTGTTCTCCTGCCTTCTAATGGGTAAAACAAGAACTGCTCGACTGCTTTTCACAGGCTTCTCACTGGTAACAGCTCATTGTCGTGGCTACTCTGATGGGAAGACTGGAGCCTCAACCCTGATGCTACTTACAGCTCTCTGAGTAGTCACGCACAGTGCACAGACAACTACGGGCTTGCAACAATTAAGCCTGTATTAAATTAATACAGTCTATTTATCGAATAACGTTGTCCATTGTTTTAAGTCTCAGTCTTTTCTCAGTTTCCCCTTTAAATGCTTTTATGTATTCAATTTAATGCTGTCATTCATGTCTTACACAAAATCTTGACATTACAACTATGCAGGATGTGCACAGTGTGTATTAACGCATGCAAAGCCTTTCATCAGGCCAGAACCATAGATGAGGAGTGCCACCAACTTACAGAGTGCTTGTCTCTAGTAGCCATAGGATGGAAAGGTAGTAACACTTTTGGAAAGACCTCAACATCTTGTACGCCTGGCTGTTTAAATATGAGTGAAAATACAGCCTTCCATCATACCTACGGTAAGGGCATTAATTTAGTGTATACCTAACTATGTGTGAAATGGCAGGAAAAGCAGAGAAGTGATAATACGGGCCATTTACAAATAATGTAATAAGTTAGGTAGCAGAAACTTAATTCACTAACAGTATGTGACAGTGTCCAGGTCAGTAACAGTGCTTTAATCTCTGTCCTAAAAAATGCTTGCGATAAAGCAGCCCCAGACAGCAGAGTGCAACACCAGCTCCACTTCCCAGAGCCCGCACGGTCCTGGTATGCTTAAACTGAAAAGAGATCAAATTCCTCTGGGGCTCTGAAACAAGAAAGGGTGGGGGGAAGGGGGAGCTAGGTGGAAGTATAAGTGGAGGCTACTTGCCTATATGATGAGGGCCATGGAGTTACTCACTTCTGGTCTGCTTGTATCTGAGAGTAAAGCCGGCACTTCTGTGGATCTGTGTACTTGTTTGCATATGGATGTATTCTCACATAGAAACCACAGATGGCATCGCTTTGAAACCAGGCTGAGTTAATATGGAGTTCTTTATGTTAATCATGTGTGGTACACGTGTTGAGGAATTACGTCACATCTCATCACCTTGTATGTACATGAAACACTGGACTTTCTTCAAAGCAGTGTTAAACTTAATTACATACCTACAAGATTTACGACAATGTTCAAGAAAAGGCACACCGCTTTTTCTTTGTCTGTATTTTTGTTCCATTAAATCAGTCATTAAAGGCAGGTACCCCTCAGTTATAAGCCACTGATTTCAAAATATAAATTAAAACATAGCACATCCACAGCAAAAAGTGAAGAGCTATTACACTAATGGCCTAAAAAGGAACTAAATATAAAACAAGAAAAAAAAAACAAACTCTATTGTAGCTAAGTGCAACTGCTTAATAATAATAATAAAAAAGAAAAACTGTATATTTGGGCCTAAGTTATTTGCAAGAGTTCATGAGACAATCTGCCAACCCACAGGTATGAGAATTCCCATAAACCCTCTCCTTGTGCTCCTAACATGTTATCCATCTAACTACACGCATCACTTCCTTTCACATGTTTTATGTTGTTACTTAAGTTGTTTTATTACTTTGGGGCATGTAAATGTTTGCCTAAGGCTGTTCTACAGATACTGAAGGGAATACACAGTGCATGGTAGTGTGTTTAGGGTCCTCCTTTCTTCCTCTCTTTTCTTTAATGAGGTTTACTAGCATGTGAACAGATGGCAATTTGAACATGTTGAGAATACCAGTGAGTTCAGAGAGCTGAGGAAATACTAAGAATGACTGTAAAACTAAATCACAGTGCTCACAATTACACAAATATTGTAATTACATTTCTGTTTATGGCATTGTAAGGTTTATTGGTTTTAATTCAAAACAGAAAGCCAACCTGAAGAGCCCACCATTGAAAGTGCTACACTGTTTTTGAATTGCCACTGCCTGCTCTCCTGCCATAGTGACAATTTGGGTTTTTTTTTTGGTCTTTTCAATGCACTCATTGTGATAGCTGAAAGTAAAATCTGGCTACTTTCTCCTATTTCTGGCACCACGTTCCTCCCCATCCCCCAACTTCTTTTGTTTCACTTTTACCATATCAAGTCGCTCAAACAAGTTCAGCATGGAGGCAGTTGCTCCACAGAGGGGATTTTGCTTTCAACCTCCATGTGTTTGAGACCACAACAATAGCTCTCCCAACCTCAAAAACTCTCCTTGAGGCAAAGGAATGTTTTGCATCAAGAGAGAATGCCCTGGGAGCTTAGCAATGGCTTTGTGGGAAGAACAAGAAAGAACCATTTTTGTTCTATTTATTTGCAAAAAATACAGTATACATATTCAAGTATTTTTCATGAGCCTGAAGGGTAACAGATTTTGTAGTATAATATCTGCTCAAGGGCTTTATTTTAATGTAACAACAGATGGTTTTGCTTTTGCCATAAAGCCTGTACTATTACTGACCTCGTCTTTCTCTTCAAAGGGATTACACTGATTAGATATCATTTTCTCTTCTAAATCAGACTGCTGCTTCTCAGAAGGAAGCGGAAGGATGGTCTGGCCCGAAGGAGCCTCCAAGGTTGGAAGATGCAACGGGGCTTACTTTGCTCATGGGTGCAGGGAAGGGGCAATGACTGTGGTGCCCAGGGAGGGAGTCGATTTCCTCAGCTTTTCACTCTTCATTTTCCCACTATAATTCATTCCTCAAAACAATCTTAAATTGCATGAATACTTAAAATATGCTTTTAATCAAGAAATGAAGGGTATGTCGCACAAAGCAGGCATCACAACAGCAGTTCTAGAACCACTAAAATCAGTGATGAAATGCCCCCCTGATCTCAGCAGTCATGGGATTTTGCACCCCCCAAGTAAGGCTACTCACCTCTCTTTTCATCGACAGTAGATACTGCCTGGATTAAAAGTGGTGCGTTGGATTCGGTATACTCCACAAACACCAGCAGCAGCTTCAGTGCTGTCTTTACCACCAGGCGGAACTGGAAGACAAGAGTGTGACTTGTCATTCAGCAAACCACAGCATTTCCAGATGTGCTAAATGACAGTGGGCAAGACGCAAGCACAGTGATCCAGATCTGGTAATAACACATGGATGGAAGAGATTAAGCTGTGCCAGGACTGAAAAAATGAAAGGTAGGCAGTTGGCAGAAAATTTCATTCACTGGACAGTGCCCTCCTAGGGAAGTCTCAATAGTCAATGAATCCAAAGGAAAGCGTAACGCTGCCACATGTAATAAAAGACTGGACATCCCACCTATGCGTGCACCTATGTACATCCCCAACACTGCTGTCCGAAGCTTGATGTACACAGAATCTCTGAGCTAAGAATGCATATATTCCTCTATTTGTCAACACAAAATTTATTTTCCCCTTTCCCTGTGGGCTTTTAATATTGTCAAATTGCTCTATGATGTGATGAACTTCTCCTCATGCCTTCTTATAATGTTACTAGTTAATGCTTACATTATTAAATAGATCAACCTCAATATTTAACACAACTTCGGAAAAAGTGTGTTTAGTCTCCAACTATCCCACTCTGTCACACAATGTGTGATTTATTGGAACTGAGCATTCTGCCTGCAAGTTTTCATGCTCAGTTTTTTGAACATCCCCAGGAGTGCGAGTTCAGCAAAGACTCAACGTTGGTAAAACGGACCTACTGGAGATAATAGCCAAACTCTATCAGTTTCGTCACAAGATCCCCCATTTCCAGAGACAATCATTTGACTATCAGATAATTTTCAAAGCACTGAGTAAGAATTTTTAGGGACTTTCTTAGCATGATCAGATATGTGAAAAATTATCTCTTAAGGGAATATTTGGAGTTTTTAATAAAAGGAGACGTGAAATAGGACTTTTTAATAGGCAGGGCTCTACGTGTGCAGCTGAGAAGGCTTTTACTAGGAGAATTGATTCTAGGTCAAATTGGCCATATCCTCAATTTAAATCATGGATTTAAAGCCAAATAAAAGGTGATATGCTGCTGGTCCCAGAAACACAATTTCCAACCTACTGTGATTGAATCAAGCTCAAGAAAAACAGGTATTTGTAAGTTTACTGTATTTTTCTGCTACCTTGTTCTGCAACACACCTATCCAACAACGTGTAAGATTTTTAATGAGACAGTTACAGTAATGTGGTCATTATTGTCTCCTTTGCCATTGACAGATTTTTAAATCTACTTTAGGATGCATTCATGTAGAGATAAGCCACGTTCCAGGAAATCTCTGTCTTTGTCTCATTACATTAATTTGGTAGGCACCCCGAGACATAACTGCCTGGTCAATAAAATGTCCCACCCAGGGGGAAAAGAAAAAAATTAAAATCATTATACTGAATTGCTAAACTCTTTCAGGGACATATATAGAGTTTCTGTCAGTATTAGTTCATTCCCATTCCCTCATTGTTTCAAGTCCTCTCAACACAACTCTCCTAAGATGCAAAGAATCACTATTAATCATTTCGTAGATGCATGCAAAGACAGTGACTGTGTCTATATTCTAAAAAAGACTGTGAGTGCAACAGGCATAGACTCTAGCTGCTGCTTTCACATTTCCACTCACAGAGATGTACTAGAGCTGACTTCAAGATAATGAGCTAAAATGCAGCTTGCAGCTATAAACAGAGAGTTTAGTGTGAATGTGACCCTATTTCCCTAGCTTCTTGGGTTTTAGCCACTTGTGCTGAATTGAGCTTAATGCACTACAATGACACTACTAGCAACGCAAAATCTGTTGTTGAACCTAGACTCTTTCAGACTTGATGTATCATCAAATCAGTTACTTTTAGGGCTGACAGCCAGGAAAACCCAGTGACAAACCTGACCAGGTCCCTTAAGATGCTTAGTTAGCCGAATTTGCAGTTGCACTGCTTCAGCAATACTTTATAGATAGATGGTGTAGTCAAAGGAAATTGAAATCCGATGACACACCAACAAATCACTTCCCCGTGACTGCACTGGACATCTGTGTATTTGCCCGTCAGTCCAATACCACACCGTTTCGGCTCTGCAATGACATTTCCCTTAGCAACTAAGTTCAATTGTTTAACGGACATATCGAAAGAATTTCCAACAAGGCTCCACTTGTTTTGTAAAGTTACTTTGTAAAATAGGAGTTACCAGATTACTGTAAACAATTCTAGTATTAACATACTTCCCAGCTAACCACTTGTGTACTACCTACTAATCTGATCAGAACCCTTTCCCTAGAAAGGAAACATTGGATATTCCTTTTGATGGTTCTTAAAACCCTCACACCTGGCCACACGGTGACAATAGGATGCATTTACACACAAGTACTCCATGGCAAAGTTCCCATACATTTCCATTTGACAGCAATCAGTGGGAGACATGCTGGGTTTATGTCTGGTTTTGCAAATCTCTTTTGCTTCCAGAAAAAAGGACCTTCTGCAATATCCTTGCTCTAACTGCTGCTTGCTGGCCATGGCAGCTGCCGTAATGAGCTGGTCCCTACGCACCTCGTATTTGTCGTGCTGCAGACCCTGTGAAGCCTCAGGGCAGCCCACTGCAGTTGCACCAGACCAAGGCTCAAGCCAGCTGATTATTCGGGTCCTGTCTGCAGGTGTCAACCTCCTGTGCTTAACAAGCTAACAGATGACAGCGTAAGGAATAAATACCACCCAGAAGCAGTCCTGGAGAAAAGGAGTGATTAGAAAAGCTATGTTTTGCTTGCCATTTAGCTAGTAGAGGGATACTATAAGTTCAGTTCCTCAACCTGCAAATTTTCAGGGCTTACCCAACCCCTCACAAAACAGTCCATCAGCCCTGAGAAGTGGAGGTGTCTGTAGGTGAAAGTATGTACCATGGCAGCTTTCTGCTGGTAGTCAGCACAGCCACTAGCTTTGAGAAAAAATGCATTTAAAACATGCTGTTTCCTGCTCAATAGAAAATGGCATTTATGACTGCTTTGGGCACTTTTAAATCTGCATGCTTTGGACACCTTGGGCAAGTACAAAACCGAAATACTGCAGTCCTAGACTAACCTGCACAATACCTACACTGGGCACTTACTAGCTGCCTGTGACCCATACAACCTTTGCACACATCCTACAACGGGGCTTTTAAATACTACTTTAATAGTGCTTCTTGACAGAAGCAGGCAATCCTCGAGTGGCGGCACTGCCCCTTGGAAACAGAAGTCTGTCTTCAGCCAGCCAAAGCCCTCAAGACATCTGATAGCCTGTCACCCATAGACACAAGGACAGGCCAGGGTCTGACATGCTCACACTAAAATCAACTCTAATTATCCACCATGGCACCAAGACGTCTCTGAGAGGTCTGTTCCAGGGATACTTGCTGCCAAGACCCATGTGAAGCATGGTGTATTTTCTTACATAGCCTCCGATATGATGTCCTATCTGTCAAATGATCCCTTCATGACCACCTGTGGGCCTGACCTGCCTGTAGCAGCCCACGCATGCTGCTGCTGACACGTTAAGTGTCAGGTACTGCAACGGGAGGGGTTTCAACCAAGACCAAGCGTGACTGTTTCACAACTTTCAAAATACCAGAGCTACTCAGAAAGTTTCCATTTGTGATTAACTACGGTGACTGTCAAAGTGGGAGATCCTCATATCTTCCTGAGTGAATTATAAAATGTGTTTGCAGGGCATGCCTTTTCAATTATTTAAATAGTAGACAGCTACATTGCAAATAAAATAACTGTAAATCTCAAAACTAAGAGATTGCTGAAGAGGAAAAAAGAACGGCAATTCATTGCCTTTCTTGCTTCCCTTTGTGAAGCCACAGGAGTTTTTGCCGGTCACTGGTATCATTTCATTTCACATGATGTACCAGATGGCACAGCAATGGGAGCAATAGAAACAAGTTTCATATTTTGTTCACAAGTAGGTGAATCACTATTCATTTGAATCACTGTAAAAAACTTCATGAAGGCTTTTAAGGCTGTTTCTGGGATTTAAGGGGTGCTCATTTAGTACCGAAGACAGACACAACTGCTTTCTAAATCAGCTTCAACGGAGTCACAGTTCTGTTAAAATCCATGGGGCAATCACAGTATTACTTCAAACAGGACTAGATGTCAGAAGAGCAATAAAAGAGGTAGACGTATGCTGTGCTAGCTGAAAAAAAGTCCTGGTATCACCACTTTGCAAACATCAATTGTTGCAATTAATTTCAAATTTCCATCCTAAATATTACTGCTTGGTAATGCACTGGTTCGGTAAAGGGGTGTTTTAACAGTTCCGAGATTAAATCAGGACTCTTGAATGTCAAAACATTGAAGTATTAAAACTTTTATTAAGTTAGGAAAGAGAGCCATATTGTGTTTTTGTATCACGTGCAAGCTAATTTATAGACAGGAAATGATGTTAGCATCTTCTGGATAAAGATAAGATGTAGCCAGCAATGTAAAAGAAAGAAGAAAAATTATAAAACTTTCCCTCTGACTCGCTTTATGTTATACAGTGGAGTTTGGCAGTCACTTTCCTTTTTATCTCTTTATATTTAGACAATCAGAAATGTGTTAGAGACCACACAACAGGCTGCAAAACTCATGTCTCATGGAAGGGCTTGTCCCAGTCGTTAATCACTTGCCAGGAAAGGCTTTAGCCTTTACAAGGAACGTTGTCAGAAAGTTCATTGACTTAGAGACCATAATATATTCTCTTATTCAGAATGAGTAGACAGAATTAAATGGTGTGATGCTAAAAGAAACATCTGTAATTTTCCCTGATTTTTAAGAAGAATTACCAGAACTCAATGCCCTTAAAGGGTAATTTTCAAGGAAGAATGACAGGCAAATGAAGAAAAGAGGCAGAAAAGGAAGATGTACAGAAAGTGCCAGTTAAAACCTGCCATGAGAAAACTTAGTCCTAACAACATTCACCTTGAGCTTGCAGCATTACTGCCAAGGCCATCAAAAATAAGTACAGGACATGTTTACTTTATCTATTAAAAGGTTAGATGTGCATAAACAAAAAAGCATTGGGATCTTCT